CCGACAGGATAATTCTCTATTCCATTTAATTTCGTGCAATTCGTTTAATCGCTATCGATGTGCATCAACCGGACATCGTCCATAAGAAAATTATAGGTCTCGGGGGACGCTGCTCTTGTGCATGAAACAGCGAAAATTAACGACACCCTTAATATTTTACGCACGGTATTCCTTATACCCCGTCAACGTAAGATCTCAGCGTTCAAAGAGGAAACTTTCCCTGCCGGAAGAAATCCTCGTGCTAACAGTAAGGCAACAGTTCCGTCATCGATTCCGAACATAGCACACCCGCGAAACTCTCGTTTGCAAGCTCTGTAACTTGCAGAAATTTCGAGTAAATTGTATGCCCAATAATTAGAATTAAACTGCTACTATCGTTCTCGAACAGTGTCTCAATATCGAGAGAATGGCTATCACAAGTAAGACTGATCACGTTTTGATAAATTTTTGTTAAATCCCCCTTGAAGTCTTAAAGAAAGTCGAGGACGGAAAATAGGTGAAAAAATGATTTAAAAGGGGCCCGGCGGTAAACAAAAAAATTAACGCGTTGTATTTATTGAACGTTTAGTGCGTGAGAAGGGCGTGGCGCGCGAAAGCAGCGCGTTCGACGTTCCTTATTACAAAATGCTTGCAAAGTATTTGATCATTATGGGTCAACATCCATCCCAAACAAAGACGATGAATAGATTTTTCGTGTATTCGGTATTTGTAAGTAGTATCAGCATTCTGATTCCCACGGTAAGTAGAACACGTAAACCCGACAATGCACAGTAACAGCGTTCAATGTAAACTATTTAAAACATCGCGAAACTAACGAGCTCTGATCGAAATTAATAACCAATGAATATTATTGCACTATCGGTACGTGTGATTCCGGTAGTTCCATCAAGTGTACAAGTCGATATGCGAGAAGGATTTGGACGGAGTGATGGAGTGTCAACCGCATTTAGTTACGTGTGTTAGCAGTGTTCTGAAATTATTGAGCCTGGATCTCAATAAATCAACCGTACGTACGCTTCCTGATCTATTAGAGCTCGTCGAGTGTACAGAGTCACAGAAATCTAAAATATTCCAGGTGAGGAAGATATTTACGTCCGTGAAAGAGGAATGGGAGCTATTGGAATATGACGAGGAAGTGGATTGCATGCACGAAATAACCGGAACTGGAAGCAAAATTGCGCAACTGTACAGAAGTGAGTACTTTGTCGTAATTTTTACTGATTGTCGATTCAGAGATGTTCATTAACAATTATTTTCAGAGACATTGTTGTCTAGTTTGATAGTATTCGTCGTACTCCCAATGTTCAACCCCCTGTTGGACGTAATTGCACCACTGAACGAAACGCGATCGCGAAACCAAATGTTCAAAGTTTACTTCACCCCGAACGACGACCAACACTTTTATCCTATATATTTTCATGGAAGTATATGCGGTATTATATGCGTATTAATTATAATTTCCATCGATTCCGTGTACATGGTCATAGCTCATCACTCTTCAGCGCTGTTCACTATCTGCGAGTAAATATAACTATATAATACCAAACACTGCACAATATAGCAATTTTGTTTGTAATCACGAATCATAATGGCGTCGCACGTTTTGAAATTATTTCGCAAATAATAACGTAATTGCAATTTATTTTTTTACTCGCCATTATCTATATTTATTTACGTAATAAACGCAGGTGTAAGATTAAGAGATCGAGCGCTGTTCACTATCTGCGAGTAAATATAACTATATAATACCAAACACTGCACAATATAGCAATTTTGTTTGTAATCACGAATCATAATGGCGTCGCACGTTTTGAAATTATTTCGCAAATAATAACGTAATTGCAATTTATTTTTTTACTCGCCATTATCTATATTTATTTACGTAATAAACGCAGATGTAAGATTAAGAGATCGAGCGCTGTTCACTATCTGCGAGTAAATATAACTATATAATACCAAACACTGCACAATATAGCAATTTTGTTTGAAATCACGAATCATAATGGCGTCGCACGTTTTGAAATTATTTCGCAAATAATAACGTAATTGCAATTTATTTTTTTACTCGCCATTATCTATATTTATTTACGTAATAAACGCAGGTGTAAGATTAAGAGATGGAGCGCTGTTCACTATCTGCGAGTAAATATAACTGTATGATACCAAACACTGCACAATATAGCAATTTTGTTTGAAATCACGAATCATAATGGCGTCGCACGTTTTGAAATTATTTCGCAAATAATAACGTAATTGCAATTTATTTTTTTACTCGCCATTATCTATATTTATTTACGTAATAAACGCAGATGTAAGATTAAGAGATGGAGCGCTGTTCACTATCTGCGAGTAAATATAACTGTATGATACGAAACACTGCACAATATAGCAATTTTGTTTGAAATCACGAATCATAATGGCGTCGCACGTTTTGAAATTATTTCGCAAATAATAACGTAATTGCAATTTATTTTTTTACTCGCCATTATCTATATTTATTTACGTAATAAACGCAGATGTAAGATTAAGAGATCGAGCGCTGTTCACTATCTGCGAGTAAATATAACTATATAATACCAAACACTGCACAATATAGCAATTTTGTTTGCAATCACGAATCATAATGGCGTCGCACGTTTTGAAATTATTTCGCAAATAATAACGTAACTGCAATTTATTTTTTTACTCGCCATTATCTATATTTATTTACGTAATAAACGCAGATGTAAGATTAAGAGATGGAGCGCTGTTCACTATCTGCGAGTAAATATAACTGTACGATACGAAACACTGCACAATATAGCAATTTTGTTTGAAATCACGAATCATAATGGCGTCGCACGTTTTGAAATTATTTCGCAAATAATAACGTAATTGCAATTTATTTTTTTACTCGCCATTATCTATATTTATTTACGTAATAAACGCAGGTGTAAGATTAAGAGATCGAGCGCTGTTCACTATCTGCGAGTAAATATAACTATATAATACGAAACACTGCACAATATAGCAATTTTGTTTGAAATCACGAATCATAATGGCGTCGCACGTTTTGAAATTATTTCGCAAATAATAACGTAATTGCAATTTATTTTTTTACTCGCCATTATCTATATTTATTTACGTAATAAACGCAGATGTAAGATCAAGAGATCGAGCGAAATTATTAACGCAACTATGAATGGAATGAGCGCGCAGGAGCTGAGATATCAAAAAACCACTAAATGTGTGAAAGCACACAATAACGCTCTCCGGTTTGTAGCAAATGATACTTAAAAACTAGAGAAATAATTGCACGATTTATGTGATTACAACTGATCCGCCATGTTGTTCTGTTTCAAGATTTTTCGATCTCCTGGACCAATTAACCCGAAAGAACTTTTTACTTCAGGTTGGACTCAACATGATTGGTATCAGTGTCACGGCTTTTCAAGTAAGGACACGCATTAATATCGTTCTCAGTCGCTATTAAATGGACCTTTAATTTTATTTATCAGACCGTAATGCATATCAACGAACCCGACGAAGCTGTCAGATATGCTCTTTTCTTCATTGCTCAAAACTTTCATTTGTTCTACATCAGTTTACCCGGGCAATTGATTTGCGACAGTAGTTTAAACATTGCATACAGCATGTATGTACACCAATGCACCGAGAACGAGAATATTTAAAAAACACGACGAAGAAACTATAAATATGCATTTTTCGACAGGTACGACTTCGAATGGTATGAAGCACCGGTGAGAGTGCAAAAAGTATTATTCATGATGCAAATGAGGGCCAGCAAACCGAGTCAATTGACCGCTGGTGGACTGTACGACATGAACATACAGAATTTTGGAACGGTACGTAATAACTCTGTCTACTTAAATATTATTAATAATTTAATTTCGATTTTATTTTAAGACTTTTAAAACGTGCATATCGTACTTCACGATGTTGCTGTCGATGAAGGAATAATACTTCGTTGGACAAGAATACCGTATCGACTGTTCGATATTCGCAAACTGTCGGCGATTTTAATGATTCACTGTGACAAATATGTATACGTGTAATAATTGGACACATATAAAATACGATTGGTCGTCAGAACGCTATTATTTATGGAACCTCTCGGACGTCTACGCAATACAGAACAGGAACAGTCTCGTAAAAGTAAAAGTATTTTCGATGTGTTTCGATGGAAAAATCGTTCGAGTTTCGATCGTGCAAAATGAAACGAAGCTAACAGCAACGCATAAATATTCGTCGGGGCCTTTGTCGAGAAAGAGCGGCTCGTAAAGCGCGATTTTCCATCGCGATTCGCGACGACGATGAAAATTGTCGACCGTCCCTAATCGGTGGATGATTAAAGACGGCCGTGTTTGTCGTTTTGCCGGCGTGTCCGGCCCGTTTACTGCCAATAAAACGGAAAACGAACGAACGAAACGATCGCGGGGTGGCTTTACAGCGGCGACGCCATCGAGTTCCACTCTGTTGTTGGGAAAACATTCTGTTTTTTAGAGGATCGAGTGCAATAAACCAATGTCCTCGTTTCGGTAAGGGGAACGCTTATTTTAAGACTTTTGGTAAAAGTAAAAACTATTCTTCTCGTTAATGTATTAGAATTCCCGCTCCATCGATAAATCTTAAATCTCGTGCGACTCTCGATCGCTGATGTATCGATGGACACGTTTTCGCGCGTGTGAGTACACGACAAGCGGGACACACACGAGGTAAATTGCCATTGGTAGTCCATAAAGGCTGCCAGTGTGCCACCCCGATCGTAATTCGTCCCGCGACAGACGAGATCGGCTAACAAACACGATCGACAGTGATTACCAGGCGGCAAACGAAGTGCTACCGGTTGCAACGTCCGTGCACCTGTAATCAACGCACACGATGCTTGGTAAATGTCTCGACGAGATTCCGTAGCCGATACTCAGCAACAGAAATTAACAAAATTCTTACGCTAGTCGCTGAAACCACCTCGAATCTAACTTTTTAACAGCAACTCAAACTTAAATTCTCTTCGACTTGGTGCTCTTCTTGCTTCTAGCGCTTTTCTTGCTGCTCCTGACGCTCACCGGTTTCGTGGTACCGATATAAGACTTCCTGGCTTCGTACACATCTTCCAACAAGGCTCTTCTCTCCCAAAACGAGTCCTTGTGCTTGCTGAAAAGCTCTCGATACCTTTCTACACGACTTTGCAACAGGCCATCCATCTCTTCGAGAACGTGGCTGTAGTCTTCTTTGGCGTACACGATGTTCATCTTGCGAATGTTGCTCAGCACCTCTTCGTCGTGCGGAGTCTTCACCCAGGGAGTGTCCTCCTCTTCCTCCTTGATTTTATAGTCCGAGAGATTCAAAGTGGGAAGTCGATGCAAATGAAACGGTCTCTCCGTTCTTGCCTCCATCTTGGACGCTAGGATCTCCAGGCAACAGTCGATTGTTTTACTGTCTCGCTTCGTGGAGGACCTACCTACGTGGATGGAGGATTTCCTTATCACGTTGACCGTCGAAGACTCCTGTTTGATCTCGTGTTCAGCTATAAAGGCTTCTCTGAGCTCCCTGCCGCGCTGCAGACTATCAGGATTCTCCCTCGACCAGGCCTCCTTCATCTCAACTATTTGCTTCTCTTTCGTTCTGTCTTGCAACACCTGTTCAGAGGAATAATCGATTTAAAACAGAGCTGATGGAAGAGAATAAGAAAATGGTACCTCTATATCGCTCCCAAAATCAGCGACTACTTGCAGAACCCAATAAGGAGACTCGGGTAGTTGCCCGCCATCGTTAGCCTGCCTCGAACCTTTCCTCGTCCTCGTTGCTTCGGTTTTCGACGATCTGCCTGCAATCGAAACTGTCGACGACTTCGTTTTAAGGAGAGAAACCGTGACCTTCGCCTTAACCTCCATCACAGCTGCCCATTCTGGCTTCGTTAGCGGCCAGCTATCGTTCAGAACGAAAGCCTCCGCGTGATAAGTTCGATGGCCCATGGACTCTTGGCTAACTTTACTTTCATCCTCTTCGATATTCTCGCTTCCATCTTCGTACGAAAGCCTGTCGTTGTTAGCACTGCCTTTGATCTTCTCTGCTTTAAACTGCATCTGACTAAGCTCTGGTTGCAACCCCAAATGAATAACCGGCAGAATGACCACAGACGTTCCCTTTATCTGGGACAACACGTTCCCCTCTTCGTCTGTCACTCTAAAGACGATCTTAGCTTTCTCGTAGGATGTTCTTAGTCTGAACGACAATACGCTGGGTTTCGCTACCCGCACGATCCACCTCGAAACGCGTTTGTCCGCGTTTGGTACATAAATATCGGACAACTCTTCGGTTACCAAAAGAGGAAGATGCGTCATCTCGTCGTTCAACGAATAAAACACCGGCTGTCCTTTCATAGTGATCACGTTCATCGTCCATGGCAACTCCTTGAACGCCTCGACCCCGCTCCAACCATACCCTATGATCGTGTACCCTAATGGCGTATACTGATAACGAGTTGGAACGACGTTGTTTACCGTTCTCAGCATCTCTCCACCAGTCTCGTTGTTAAAAACGCGTACGCTGAACCTAGGCAGACCGACGAACAGGTCGACGCCCGCGAATACGGTCTTCATGGTTGGAGAATTCACCGTGAATCTCACGATGGGCAACCATTGATTTGGCTTGACGTTCGCCAACGTTCCAGTTAGTTCTTGCAATTGTAGAGTGTATTCAAAGTCTCTGGAGCACGGGTATATGTCCTGAAGCCTGTCGAAGTGTCTCAGTATGTTCCTCAGCAGTTGGTTGGCTATGGACTCGCGTTTGTTGTAGTTGAACAGCTCAGTCGCCCTCGCTAGATTCTCCAGAACCCTTTGGTGTTGCTGGTGGCCGGGATCGTGGATCTGTTTGTACTTTCTGATCAGTAGAGTCTTGAAGAACGACTGAATAACGACCGCCGCGCTATTCTCATCCAGAACGCCGCGATCTAACGAGTATTTAGGCACGTTTGATTTGCGCATGTTCCTCAACATCGTCGATATCGGATTGAGACATTGCAGACCGATCGCAGGGTTCAAGAAGAATACCCTCAACGACCACAGAACGTCTGGGACCTGGTCCACAGGTAGGATCTTCCTGATCAGTTGCACTTGCTCGTCGATGAAGCAGTCGTGTATGTGATTGTAGAAGACTTTGTTCTTGTTTTTTAGGTTCTGGACAGGTGGCATGTAGCAGTTGTAGTAAATCGTTAGAGCTTCCAAGTACCTTTCTGTACCAAAGGACTGATAGGCGCTGCTCACGGAGTTGCTTATATGCTTAGCTAGCTGATCAATTGTCTCTGACTCGGTGGACATCAATTGGTACATCCTCTTCCGGTCTCCTAAGCGGAAGACCGTGTCTGAAGAGATCGTCACGAAACAACTGGACTCCGATCGACAATACACTCGCAGCAGGTGTCTTCCCGATTTCAATTCCATCACCGTTGACTTCGTTCCAGCGGTCAGGATGTAGACCAAACTGTTGGACCGTTTCGGTCTGTAAAACCAACTGTGCTTCTCTACGATTAGATAATCCCAATTAGCAACTGGTGGAGTCTCGCTGTCGCCTTCACCCAGCGTGGGAACAGTTGCTGGATTATCGACAGAGACCTGGAACGTGGAGAAGCTTATCAAGAAGAACTTCTCTTCCAAGGAGTCGGTGAATATGTACAGAGGCTCGTTTCTGGTCTCAGACATCTTCTGAGGCCAACAGTGGGCGTCGATGAACTCGGGTTCTCTGGTCGGCGAGCTTCTTTTGCTGCCTTTTTTCGCCTCCGATTGATGATCGAGCAACCGTCTGCCGATCAAGCGATCAGAGATCTTCGCGGTGTATTGGAAGTAGTCTAATTTGTAGAAGAAGTGGACGTCCTTCACGTAGGGTTCCATTTTGTTAAAATCTACCCAGAAACTGGTGTCCACTGGAGGATCGTCTGGCGTCTTCTTTTGGGATCCTTTTGAGGTAGTTTTTGTGGACTCTTTTGATCTGTCGCGATGTTTCTTCTTTTTATTATCGATATCTTCGTTCTGTGATGGTTCTTCCGGTGTTGCGTCACTGAATCTGTTCACTATACTTCTCTCGAAGCTTTTCAGGGGACTGACAATCTTTAAAGAACGAATTGGCACGAAGTAATCTACTGGGTCGATTATACCCTCGTCGATGGCCCATTTTAGCCAGCGATAGATCTTCCATCTCGCCAGGGGAGGCTTCACCTAGACCATATATGATATGTTGAATACTTCTATACGTGAAAGTCTACATGGAATCTATTGAGAGTGCTATGTCGTTCGACGTACATCTTTGGAATCCAAAGGAATGTCGCGAGACTGTGCAACGTAAATAAAATGGTTCCAACAGGGGGACAAACCGGGCACAGTTTCCGAAGATAATGTTTTCATGTCGTCCAAACCGAGAAATAGAGTGACTGGTTGAGGTTTGCTCAACACTGTTGGCTTTTGGACGATGTTCTTAGATTTTTTTGTTCGACCACTCTCCTTGGACGTTTTTGATCGTTCGGTGCTCTTTGTCTTCTTTGATCGTTCAGTGTTCTTGGATTTCTTCGTCCGTACTGTGTCCTTAGATGGTTTTCCATCGCTGCTTATCTTGGACCTCGAAGCATCTGTTCGTAATGCGTCAGAATTATGGACGAATTTTAAAAACGAGCGACACAGGACTCTTACGTTCCGTAGCTTCGGTTTCCCATTCGAAGTGGTCCGCGTATTTCCTTAAGAAGTCCCATTTGTCTTTGGGAGACAGATAGTCGATCTCTAATTGCAGACACACCCATCCTATAATCGAAATACAAAGATACTGATTCTTAAATAAGAACTATAGAAGTTAAATTCTTCTTTAAATCTCTGAACCCCTTGATGGTGTTTATAATTCTTTTTTTAAGTTCGTATTTGCTTGATACAGTTTCGTTTAGCTCACTTTACCAGTTAGACAAGTGACAGGATGAAAATCCACGATTTCACGTTGTTGCGTCCACGTTAAAGAACAGAGTTTCAACAGAGCCTTTGAGAGAATCATAGGCCACAATTCATAATCGTTTGCAGTGCGGGGTAACACTGGTAACCCTTCAAGGTTCACTGGTATCATGTCATCCACTATGATACGACGCCATGATCCCAGAAAGTATAGTCGCACGATGTACTTCCCTTGGATAGAATATATTTATTACACATTTTAAACTTAAATTAAATCCGTGATAATTAATTTCTTCGTGCCCCGTACGAATATGCACCTCTTGGAAAAATTTTAATGAGTCAATTTCTTGACTGAGACTTCGTTAAAAAAGTTATTAAAAAATTAAATTAAAAAATTTCGAATCATTCCGAAAAAAATATTTTTAGTTGCAGGGGTCAATTACAATCATTTATGGTGAATACACGTACCCCCGAAATCCTACCCACTTTCTAGAAAAAAATTCGAGAGGGTGTGAAATATTTCGATGGAAAGAAGAAATTTCAAATCATTTTGGAAAAATTATTTTCGGTCGCGGGGGTCAATTACAATCATTTTTGGTCATTACAATTATCCCCGAAATCCTACGCACTTTCGGGAAAAAAATTCCCATGGACCCAAGGTGACCGTAGTTCGACACTTGAGAATCTCTCATTAAAATTGTTCCCAGGGGTGGCCTATTCGACGAATAAAAAAAATTTCAAATCGTTCTGAAAAAAATATTTTCGGTTGCGGGGATCAATTACAATCATTTTCGGTCATTACAATTACCCCCGAAATCCTACCCACTTTCGAGAACAAAATTCGAGTAGGTGCTGAAATTTTTCGACGAAAAAAAAAATTTCAAATCGTTCTGAAAAAAATATTTTTAGTTTCAGGGGTAAATTACAATCATTTTTGGTGAATAGACATACCCTCGAAATCCTACCCACTTTCTAGAAAAAAATTAATAACTTCTTAAGGAAGTCTCCATCAACAAATTGGTATTCGTGATTTTTGTCTTATTTTGGCCTGCAGAATCCCCCATTAAAATTTTTCTCAGAGGTGGATGTACAAGGGATTAGAAAATGATTGAATACACCATTTGGATTTAGGCTGGGTCGATGTTGGGCTCCTTTGCCAGCTTTGTTATTCGAATATACATTCATCCAGCCTTGCCAAGATTGGTACCGTCCGTTCCAAACGAAATTGCCATTCTCGCCACTTATTTCTAATCCATCCCGACCGCAGTGCTGCAGGTTTATCAGCGTAGAGATAAACCATCGCACAAACTGAAAAATCATTCCCCATTGAATCGTTCCAATAGCGCACAGACCATTTTTTTAATCGACTTATAAAATGCCTACATGCAAATAATATACACATAGGTTTCAAAGATCAAGGAAGAATTTATGGATTCTAATCATACAATCCTTAAAAGTACTTCATCTTTGAAAGAGTTACAATGTTTAATAAAATTTTGCATTGGAAGGATAGTAAAAAAATATATGTTGACTAATAGCGAAAAACATTAACGTACCTCACTGTTTAATATATGTTTGTTGTTTGCGATTAAATCAGGATACTCTGAACTATCGACGAACACTTTTAGCGATTCCTAAATACATTTTCAATTTATTTCTTTAAAACTAAAATAATAAATCGGAAACTAATTCAAAAAGTAAACCTACAGTTAGATTCTTTAAATTCTTTGCTCTTATCCATGCATAGGGTTTCAAAGATGGCGGTAAGTGAACCAGCTGCGTGTCCAGATACAAACCATCCGACCCATCTACGATTAATATAATAAGTAAAGTGTCGAAAAGTGTTCTCTTAATATTTATTACTTTTAGGAGTTGCCCAGTTTTCTCTGTTTAACGCCACGTCGGACCATTCTGACCATAATATAGAATCATCAATGATAGAAGGGTTAAATTCAGACTCGGCAACTTTCTTAGATTTTATAGACATGTTTAAATAGTATGAAGTGAGGAGATAGTAGCAACTAACGATGGAAGACGATAGTCCTTTTTTTTTTTAATAACATTTTATCATAAAAACAACAGAGAAATGAAATATTCCTAAAAGTTCTGAAAAAAGTATATATTTATTGAATCTCTGTATTATACATAACTATATGAAGATGAAGTGCGAATCTATGTCAAAAACAGACTTTATAAAAAATTACAATTTAAAAAAAAACTCTATCTCGTTAGTAGCTACACCGCGACAACGCCATCGCATTTATTAAGAAACTAAACATATGGAAGATATATAATTCAGTACAAATATAACTTCTACAAAAAATAATATTCTCGATCTCACTGTCTCTCTCTCTCTCTCATTCTCATTATATCAACTCAATAACGAATCAATATTTACATCAATCCTATCAATGATAACGATGAACGATGGCTGGTATGTTTTACAACGTCGGAACGAAGTTTAACCCGCAGGTTCACAGTTACATAATTATTTTCCCCCAGACAACAAGAAAAATAATACTACTTGTACATCAAGGAATTACCATTAGCCCTCGTTTGGAATTTTGTACGATACTAGCTATCATTTTTTTTTATTTTATCTTCAACAATATTTAAGATATAGCTTTTATAGTCCCTTCATCAGGCTCGGTTTAGTTTTATAGTCGGTTCCATAGTTAATTTTATTAGTTCTATACACGTAAGCAGGCATGAAGTGTTTAAACCTCTCAAAACACACACTTAGGTCGTCGATAGAATCTCGTAAGTATTAAGGCATTGTTCCGTTCTTCCAATCTTTTCTTTTTTGAAGAAACATTAAAAATTGTTTATAGAAGCGTCCTTTTTTTTTCTTTTGATAATCGTCTTATCACGTATTTAAAGATAAATAACGTCGAGAATTTACAATAATTTATAAGTTACTTATCTAATAGATAGGTTTAAGGATATAAATACAATGGAATATTCGATGGAATGTTGAATATGCTTCTCTAATGAACGTATTACTGCGTTATCGTATTTCAAAATGGTGTTTTGGAACACAAGGAGATCAGGCGATACATTACGCTGTATCAGATTGTAAGTTAGAGAATCCGTATAAATTATATTCTCCTGTATATAATTAAGTTCGTTAATAAGTGTCAGCGCTTTGGAGTATCGTTAGTACTATAGAATTTAGTTACATAGTTAGGTACCATTGAAATTAGTTTCACTCAAATTTCACGATCGTGATCAACGTTTTATGTATTGTGCTCCGCTGACGAAAAGTCCACCGACAGGAATGCAGATCTAATTGGTCAGAGTGGAAGGGGGCACACCTAACCTCACATATACTTTGGGCTCTAGCATACTATTCGCTACGGTAGCCACCCATAAAATATAGACTGCGTGACGAGGAGCGTACTAAGATTAAAAGAAACAATACGAAACGAATTACGTCCATCCCGGGAGACTTCTAATCAGCGGAGTCCTTGAAATGCGCAAAATATATGAACGACGAAAGATAAAAATGGTAATCGTACAGGTTACCAACTTTTAATGACCCGAGCAAAACGCTTCGCATTGGCGTACGTTCGTCAACGTACAATAGAGAAAACAGTAAATACAGAAAGGTACATACAAATAACAACGACCAAGAACTTTCTTCCTTACCCTCGGTATTTAGTTTTCAACGCATTAATGTTTGGCACCAAGTAGACAGCACGCCAAGGCGCACTTTCCCGCCATTTGCAAAAATAAATTGTGCAACACCAGATATGCAAAAGAAGAATTAGTAGACCTTCAGCACACGATACCCAACAACGTGATAACTCTTCTGATAATCGAAAGTACGTTCGTGCCATTCATGCTCTCAGCCTGGCAGTGCTTATTCTGGTCAAGAACGAATCTTTTGTACGTCATAAATTATTGAACCATTTCTTAGTTGCTGTTGAGAAACGATATACTTCAAAAATACTAATATAAAATTATTCTCCGTTTAACGTTGCATAACACATCCCGAGCGTTTAAACGCATAACTTAGGCTCGTATGTACAGCATTTGGCACCATATTGCGGACACTCAAGTAATGAAAAAAAGATCAATTCCAAGTAATAAGTGGGGAACTAATAACAGTGGACGGTATTATAATACCTTACAGTTTCGCTGAATTTTAGTCATATCCATGCAATGATTTTGTAGACCATAAATGTTAAATTAAGCACTGAACGTTTTGTAAATTATAATATAAAAAGAAATCGCGTGAACGAGTTGCAAAATTTCAAGTACAGTAGTGCCCACTTAAGTGTCCGCGGTTATCTTTAACGCCAGTTGTTATCGATACATTGTATATCTCACTCATATTTATCCTCTTTCCTCATTTCAATTCTGAGATCATTTAAGTGAGCACTACTGTATATGGTGTTACCATAAGACCTGACGCGGTTATTTTTAAGTCGCTTCCCGCTGTTAATATTTTTAGTAAGTTTTACCAGGCCCTGAAGCTCTTTGATCTTCCATTCGTCCCGCCTGAAGTCTTTGAATTAAAGCAAAAAGATCTTCTTCGGGCACCGTCGAACCTGCTTGAGTTCCATTAGATCTTTGGCTGTGTTCCTCTTCAGCATCTTGCACTGTCGATGGCGCAGGCAAAGGACTTCGCTGATCCTCCAAACGTGAACCCTATTTAAATTTAAGAAAAGCTTCTATATCTCTCTAAACTCTCCTATGAAGCATAGTACATACCTGACACCTCACGAGCATCTCAATGAAGGAATCATCGGCATCTTGATTAGTATTTAGGCCAGGTAAATAAGGCAGCGTCACTCGTTGCTCGTCCATTCTTTTACTTTGCATTCCCGCGATCAGTTCCAACAAATCTTCCCCGTCCCTGAAAATGCAATCGATGTAGTTTAACATACAATAACAATAAATAAAGTAACATACTTCTTGTCCGAATCGCACGCTTCAGGCGTGATTGCTCTGAACTTCTGACTGCAATGCGTGTTCAATGCACAACGTTGGTCGTCCATTCTACCAGATTGAAAACGAGACAGAAGATCAAAGAAGTTATCCTCTTCTTTTTGACTAAGTTGCGATGTTATGCTATTACTTTTCTCGGTTTGAGATTCAGCTTGTTCTTTCAATTTTGCGTCCGGCGTAAGCTTGATAAGGTCCAAATTGTCCATACTTTCTCGTCTAAGTCTATATCTACACGGCGATGATATATTAACGTTTGATTCGGAATTGGTTGAATGTTTGTGTCCAATATTTTCCTTGTTATTCTCATGTTGTTGCCCTTTTTCCAAACCCAAAATCTTTTGCAGGTCATCGACGTTCATTTGTGCTGTAGCTTGTCCCATAGGATCTTCCAGTTCTTTTGAAATGTTTAAGTGCAGATTGGCATAATGTAGTGCCTTCTCATGATTGCCCATTGCTGCATAGGCATTGCCCAATGACCAACAAGCACGGCCTTCCCCTACGCGATCTTTAAGTTGCTGTGCTATCTCAAGATGCCACAAATGATATTCTATTGCAGTTGGATAATCCCGAAGAAGAGTATACGTATTTCCTAAAGAATAGCATGCTTGTGCTTCTACCTCTCTGTCCCCTAAATCCTGTGCAAGATCTAGAGTTCTCCTAGACCAAAACAATATTCAATTTTAATTATATTTTGATGTACTGGGTAAAACAAGGAAATGCAATTGGAATACACACTTGTAATGTTGTGCAGCCTTTTCAAATTCACCGAGAAATATATGTGAATTTCCTAAATTACTATTTGCTCTTCTCTCAGCAGCTTTGTCACCAAATTCTCTCGCAATTTTTAATCTCTCATTGTGATAAAAAATTGCTTGTTGAAAATCACCCAAAAGGTAAAACGTATTTCCCAGGTTCCCGCATGCTCTACCTTGTGCAGCAGAATCTTCCAATTCCTTCATTAACTCTAAATTTTCTCTACAAAACCAATTCACACCATTTACGTATTTGCTACAATTTACACTTACTTCGCAACTCAAAACTACTGATGCTACAATTTTCTTACTCGTAATAGCAAACAGCTTGTTGCAAACACTGTCTGACATCCTCAGAAAATTCACCAGGATCCTGATGCCCTACTCTACTAGCTTGTTTCCCTTTTGCGTGATAAACATTCCCTAAATTGTATAATGCCCTTCCTTCGCTAAGCTTATCGCCAATTTCTCTTGAAATTTCCAAGTGTCTCTTACAACAAATCATAGCTTCGTCGAACTTTCCCATAACCTTCAGTGTGTTTCCTAAGTTTCCACTAGATTTAGCTTCTCCCAATTTGTCTCCCATGTTACGTGCAAGTGTCAAATCCAACTTGTGATATTGCATCGCTTTGACATAATCTCCCAAGTAAAAATATGCATTACCCAACTGGCTATAAATTGCACTCAATATCCGTAAGTCGTCCGTACCGGCTTGGATCGCTGCTTGAAAGAATGCCACCCCGGATTTACAATCTCCAGCCTTACACAGACGCTCGCCCTCGAGCGCCAATTCAAGGCACATGTTCCATCTTTCGCTATTCTGTCAATTATAAGATCATTTACCTTACATCTACCTATCATTAATTCAAATCATGCTTTTGAACATTTAGAGTATGTTTGAATATTCTGAGATATCGATAAGAACATAATCACAAAGTTTTCAATGCATAGTCGTGACATGTTTTAAAAAAAAAAAATATGGGTAGGGTATTGGAATGATCATGGGAGTGGCTAAATATACAACTTCAATGCTGATTGCTGACAGGAGTTCGCAACAATATTTCACATTCCATTCTGTCAAAGTACATAATACAAAACGAAATAGGTTCTTGAGAAATATATAAAGAAACATATACATGGTAGATTAAATAAAAGAGAACTTGTATAGTATATTTCTTTTATTGTTAACGAAATATTTTTTCATTATTTACAAAAAGAAATTATAAATGCTGTAATATTTGAATGAAATGAATGATCCGAAAGAAAACGCGTTTATCGAACATAGCGATCCAATGACAAGACTAATATGAGTCACACAAGGACAAGTAACAATTAATGTGGTTCACTTACTTGCCCTTCTGATGATAAGTTTTCAGCGCTCGCACTCAGAGACATCGTACTCCTTCTGTCTTTGTTCCCTTTGCAAATTAACAATTGATCCTTGCAGCTTTGGGGCCGTAAATAACACACGCCTTATGTGCACGGTAGGCGATTATTTGGGGTATGATAATAATTCGGTAAACACGACTTTTCGCGCATCATGATTTTCACGTTTCCTATTCCACTGCTTATTCCCTCACATAATTGCATCTGCGTACTTTACGCGAATAAAATACGCCGTCCCTTTTCCCTCCAGCCGGAGCCCTGCACCGATCCTCACTCTTTCAGAATGCAACTGACCGAAAATTGAGCGTCCAAACAAATGGCGCTTGATGCAATTTATCCACGCAATATCCAATCGCGATTCATTAGTCATTTGGTAACAAATTTAAATTCTCTATACAATGTTTCTTGGTTATGTACGCTCAGTGTGCATTAATAACGCGATTTTACTAAGCAAATTACATATCTTATTCTCATTTATTCAACAAAGCTGTAATTAAATGTACTTGTACACAATTTTCTTGAAAATGAACGTAGTATAGGGATGTGTAGGGATATACGAGATCCCCATTAACGACACGTGTTCCTTGTTCCTTGTATCGACTCAGTGTGATAGTCATAGTTCGTTATTTGAAAGTACAACCGGTTAAAGTCCTGAGTTACATTTCTCGATTTGAAGATGTATATAAAGTCTATAGTATTAGGATTTAAATCATACGGAAAGAGAATCGAAATAAATGATTTAGTCTAATGCAATCACAGGATTTAATTCTGGCGGGAAATCTAACTTTCTGGATGCGATATGCTTTGTTTTGGGAATCACACAACTTGGACCGGTATGTTACAGTTTCTTTGAGTCACATCCGGTTTAGAATGTGCTTGGAACATGATTATCAAATAAATAAATGAAATAAAAGGAAATTTTAAATATACTTCCATAACTGACTTTTATATAATGAAACCTTTATTTATTTTTTTTTTAACCATCTATTGATAAGAATCACAGCGGGAAATTGGTTAAGGAAACACGGAAACGGTTAAATCTTAAACGTAAAATTTTAGTTTACATATATTAATATTTTCAAAATATACAGAATTTTATTTGTTAATCATGCAACATTAGTTATTTATATATTTGTTTTAAATATATACATAAGTATTTCACGAAAGATGTTCAAATCTTTTAAAATATCAACTGTTATAGTCTTAGAATGTATTTGCCAGACTTGGCCAATTAATATCTTTAAAGAAGGGATGCTCTTTTATCTCAGGTATTGTCATCCTTTCATATGGTTGATATTTTAATATCTGCAGATTTGTAAGACTTAATATCAATTGTTCTATATTTAATATTAAATAATGGATTATGTAAGTACTTACATTAAGAAGCAAAGATTTTGCATTCTCTGATAACTTGTTGGGAATGTTAATTATGGAATGTGACTGAAATACACACGGGTGCTTTGTCTGAAACTTCTGAAATGCAAAAGTAGTATCTTGTATCTCTGTTGCATCATACTTATTGTAATAAAATTTATTTTATTTTGACGTACGTTGCCTGCTAGTAATTCATACAAGATAATGCCAAAGCTCCAAATATCCGTAGAAGAAGTAAGAGGAATCATAGGGGGAAACATACATAATTCAGGAGATGCATACGGATGCTTATATTTCAATAAGTCTACGTCGTGTATGGGTATAACATATGTCAGTTGAACATGTCCATGATCATCGAGTAATATGTTATCCGGTTTTAAATCATAAACTATAACTTCTTGTTGGTGCAATGCTTCTAACGCTAAAAGTATCTCAGCGGCCCAGAGGCGAATTACATTTTCTGGTATTGTCCAAAGTTCCTGTTCAACATCCAAATTGTTTTCCGTAGATTCCATTGACTGTGTAGTATCTATGTATCGTATCTGTTGATCATTCGACGAGCAATAATCATTTTTTTCAGATTTGTTATAAGATTCTATCAATCTATTTAATTCACAATTATTGGCAAAGTTAGTAGATTTATTACTATTTTTATGCCGTATTGTGAGGTGTTTGCCAACAGATTTTAAATTATCTGTCGAAGAGCTCGTCGACTCTTTCTCATCAAAACTAAGATCTCTACAACTATTGCTCAATGATGAATTATCAGTACTACATTGACTTCTTATTTTGTTAATATTGTTTAACGGTAAGTAATTAGAAATTATCACATTCTTTTCAGGTAGCTTTTCGATAACGGTAGTTTTATTTATTCCATCAATTTTTAACGATATTTCATTAGTGGTTACCGACGCTTCGTTCCAGTCTTTAGATTGAGACCTACTGTTTTTCAAATTTAATAACGTAGTGTTATCTTCATGATTCATCAAATAATCAGATTCGCGTAATCGATTAGCGACCGAATTACTTTCTTTCAAAGTAGCGTTAACCGATTGTAACAATATTTGTGCTTTTTCTAATAATTGCGTGGTAGATACATCCATAAAGTTTTCATAGTTTCCTTCTACCGTCGCTGGATCTATCTCCATTTGTACTTTAGAATTTGTACTAATAAAGTTTATATTCTCTATCGATGTTATAGCGCCTTCAATTTCATTTTTCGAACCATTCTGTTCTAAAATAATATTATTATCACTGACCGATTTTTCACTATTATTTTCCACAATCATTTTATCACACATCTCATTACTATTGGAGTTGTAATGCGTTGTTATAAAATTCCATAACTTTCCGCGGCTGTAACACAATTACAAGATTACATTTTAACCCTTTAATTACGAGGATTAATTGATGGTATTTCTAATGCTTACCTTAGATACTGCAAAATTAGGAATGCTGTCGTTTCTGTTTCAATGCATGCATGTAATTTTACCATATATGGCACCTGTCCACGTAATATATAATTACTAATATTTTCTTTATTTGTAGATGATTTTTCTATAGCCTGAAATTTAAAAAACATAACTATTTAAGTTTCTTCAAAAGGACTAAGGGTAAATTATTTAATTTTGGAATCATATACTTTCACAATGTTGAGGCAATTTCGATGGACATCCTTCACAAGCATTACTGATTCAATTATTTTTAGTACTTTGTAATGTTGGAGTTCTGAGATAGGTTTACATAATAACGAGATATTACAATTCAGATATCTATTGTAAAGCTTCTCAGCGCGTTTCAAGTACTTTGATATTTTTTCTTGAATTATTTCTGCTCTCATTTTATTCGAATCATATTCAACTCCAGATCTTAGACTGGAGATGCCCATTTTATATTGGGTAAATGCTTCTTCGTACTCTGTGAGATCTTCATGTTTAAAGGCCGCACTCATGTGTGCAGCAGCAACCAAAATATATTGCGAAGAATCCGGCCACAATTGCGATAAATCGGAGCCATCGTGTGTCGTTATCGATGAACCCAAATCTTCCGTAGCTGTGTTGATTTTTATATTACTATTTGGTGTTTGTACAATTATACAATCGTTTTCGTTTTTAACGTTACAATTTGTGTCTTTATAATAATTATTATTCTTACAAATTAATTGATTATCCTCCAAAGCGGATACAATTCTCTCTGAATCGCTATCTTTTACAAATAAATTATTAGCTTTACTTTTTGTCATGGTAGACTTCTCAATCTCGGTTTTATAATCCGTGACATTTAATTGCGTAGATTGTAACTCTTTAGGCTTGGATGCCTCTTGAGACTGTTTTGTTTCATCTTTGGGAACAGAGATAGATAATATGGAACAAGAATTTGTTACAGAATTTTGGATACTTTTAGGTTGAAAAATACTTTGCGAAACATCATCACTGGGTAGAGTGTTTATGTAAGTACGATGGTCATCTTCCGCGGATGTGTCGGAACTAAGAGATTGAGAACATTCGTTTAAGGAATAATCCGCGTGACTAGTTTCAAAAAACTTTATGAAGGTATCGCTAGAATATAAATAAGAGTGCCTTCCTATAAATTCTAAAAACTTCAATGCGCTTTCCCTCCTTTCTTCGATTACTTCTGTTTCGAACCTGCCAAAGAATTTCGGTTTTGGAAACGATGGAAAGCTTTCTTTAATTTGAGATCGTGAGCATAATACACTTAATTCTGTATGAAGTTTCTTGAAATCATTATAACGCTTCCATACAGATACTTTGGAGATTTCTTCGTGAGAAGATTTCAAAAATACCTAGAAAATATGGACTGTTATAAATTATAATTCAATTACATTAACAAATTTAAAATTTTTTAAATGAAATGCAAACTTGTAACAAAAATTATACAGCATTTCTTACTACAAGAATCAGTAGACATGAAACGTAATCAATTTCAATTCTATTCACATAAATTGCAAACTATCCAAACAAAATATTACCATGCATAAGCAATTTAATTCATTTTTCAGTTACTTTCGTTCAACGTGACGCAAAAAAAAAATTTCAACTAAAAAGTAATATAAATTCTACTGTATATCATACCACAGATGTGACTTTGTAAATAGTGAAGCCTTTCTTATGCCGTGCCGTTTCAGGAATAATAAAACGCCTCACCCATTTGTCTCTCTTGGGTGCCATCGTTCGCGCAATTAAACCGTAAAACCAGAAGTACGATAAATTTATCAGTTTATCGCATTAATTTGCGTATTTCTAGCATCGTATTTTCATGTGTCTGGCTTTTTTCTTCGTTTGCGAGGCATGTATGTTACAATTGATTAATTGTAAGTTACCGTCGCTCGCATACACTCTCATTTATCGATGTAAGAAATATACGTATCGTTCGAGGCGCGTAACTCTTTACGATACATGTATTTCTACGGATCTGACTGAAACTGGCATTATTGTTTGCATAATTTAAGTCACAGTAAACGAACGCTGAAACGTGAATTCTCTGCCTTTCGGTTGTTTTCGAAACATAGTCGTTGGAAATGTAATAGCTAACTGGATTACAACATTACTATTATGATTTCATGTCAACGATGTCTTGTTTCACTATTTACGTATTGCGAGCGAACAGTTCAGAAAATCGGTGAATCCATTTCATTCGAACTTCTCTCTTTCTCTCACCAGCGGAATTGTATCGCGCGTGCGACAGTTGTCAGACTAATGAATAATTGAATATGTATAGAATTAAATTAATGTTTCTATTCGTATACGTAAACAGTGCTATGGTTTGTTCCTTCTGAAGACACTAACTTTTACAGCACAACTGTTTTAATAGAGACTATGCGTTTCGATCACTCGTCACGTTTTCTAGTGTTTCGATCCACTGTGCATCCAATCACATCGTCGACAAACCTACAACTAACAATTATACTACATCCCTGATCACGATGACGTGTAACATAGCGAACCAATGGGATTCCAATCATGCTATGATCTATAATTCATTGGGATATATTTATGTTTACGTTGAACGAATAATAATCCATTTATGGTGGTATAACATTTCATTTTGAATGTGCACTAGTGTAAAAATTTGTTACTAAATGTAAACGAATGAATACGTCTAATAACAAAAGTATCGTGAATCTAGTAAGTATGTGTGTATACGTTACACACGTAAAACATTCCTTATGTTTATATTAATAAACAATTAAAATCATAGTACGTATTTTCTGTGCTTCTTATTCCCATCTACCTCTAACTTACTTATTTTTCTACACATTTTCTATGTAAATACTTAGTTATAAACGATTACTGGTATGCGATAGGTATTCTAATCATCGTGCTAAAAATTTTGCGGGAATCCGGGTGGAAGCTGCTTCGTCGAGGTCACCAATGTGGGAAAATGTCACCCACGTATCTCTAGATTCCAGGAAGGGACTCATGAGAATGAATAAACGAATACGTCCAGCGTAACGGTAACAAAGGAACCGTTTATTGGGGGGAAAAAAGACTGGGACGCGTGAACACGTCCGCCCGCTACGAGAGCTGAACAAAGACTGGCTCGCCGAGTCGCCGTGCCATGCGGCTTCGCGCCGAACGCAACATGGCCGCTTCCCCCACTCTCGCAGCTAAAAAAGGAGGGAAAATCGCAGGCCCTACTGACGCCATCTATCGTGGATTTTAACTACTAAAATCGTGCCAAGATCACAGAATGTTATAGGAGCTACACGGAGTACAGGTCCCCCCACTTCTGGTACCCCTGTTACCCATAGTTTGATTGCTCACTAATCACACTTTGAATTATGAACTTTTAGAATTTATTAATATAGTATAAGCCCTTGGCAATTCTAAAGTTCTAAAAGTTCATAATTTAAACCCAGGAAAAGAGTAATTATTAAATAATCGAACTATAGGTAACAGGGGTACCAGAAGCGGGGAACCCCGTACTCCTAATACCTCCTATAACATTCTGTGATTCTGGCATGATTTTAGCAGTTTTAGAATCCACGATGTTAGATGGCGTTTTACTCATAATGTAACCTACTGCATCATGTTTATACGCAGTATTATAACGAAATGATTTTCAGTAAGAGTAAATAAACAAATTTATCTTCCATGGTGTATGCAAATTATTCGAGAATTTGTTGCGTCCTACACAAAGAATCAATTGTTATAAAAAAACATGGATTCTAACGAAATATTATACTGTTTGACAACAGTTAATAAAACAGATGATGGTATAAATACTTTCCTCTAGGTCAAATGATTAATATGGCTCTGTAAACATTTTTAACGTTGTTCCATTATTTTGTAGAAGAAATTGAAAATTTTGACAGTAGATTGCAATGTGTTGTGCAAAAAATACTGCCCCTTCTAACAGAATATGACAAACAGTTCATATTGGATGATACCAAAGATGAGAATGATTCCTTAGATATTAGGTGGGATATAGTAAAAATGTTTTTCTAAACATTTAAAAGTTTATGATACAAATTATCTTTCATACTTTCAGATATCAATATCTACGTGCAATTGTGTGCATATTGCAGAGTATGAAAGCATCAGAAATTACAAATGATGAGTCCATATTCAGTGTTAAGCAATTTCATGTTTTAAAAGTTGCCATAGAATTACTAATTGCTGTAGGAATTATACCTGGTCTTTTACCTGGTGTTGGAAATGACATGAGCAAACTATGTCCCAGAGCTCTGCAGATATGCGAAGAGAAAGTATCAGACTTGCAGGTGTGAAAGTCTTTGAATCGAATGCAGTTATAAATTATAAATCAAAATGCAAATACATTTGCATTACTTTTATTTCAGAAATATAAAAGGCTAAAGTTTGCAGTAAATTCTCTCATGGGGTTAAATAATGAAATTACGTTTCGTTCTGCAATATTTACTCAATTGGGTCCATTATTAGCTTCACTTCTACAATTATGCCATGCTCCATTAATGAAACCATGCAAAGAATTTGAATCAATAAAACGAACAGATACAAGTAGAACTGAATTTAAAATGACTACAGATTTGTATGATAAATTAAAAAGAGATCAAGAGCTGTTTACTCCTTTACTGCACCAATTGTTAAACAGCTGCCCAATGTCTATGGCTATGAAAGAATTGATGGTGATTCTTGGTATCAAAGGAGCACCAAAATGGCTACAAAAAGAAACTCGAAAATATTTAATTCAGCAAATTATGCAGCCTAATGGAATTGTTTCATTAGTGACTGTTGTTTGCGACGACATCTTGGATTTTGGGGAGCATTGGAATAAACTGGATACTGTTTCTAGATTAATAGCTACATCACATGGAAATAATCCTAAAGAATATTATCAAGCTATATGTCTACAAGTATAGTTTACAAAAATGATTCATAATGATTTTTTCAAATATTTTGTAACTTTCAAATAAGTAATGCATTTGTTTCAGATACTAGATCTTTTAACATCAAAATCGATAAAGCATTCGTCGACAATAGCGAACTATTGCATCATTGCTCTGCACGAATACAATCCTGAGATTTGTATTAAAAATATTATGGAAGTAATATGCGAGCCATTATTGGCGGAGTTAAAAAATAAGCAAGATGTAATAAAGAGCGAGAGTGAGGTGGAAAAATGCATCGAAATTTTGATGAAATGTTTCGTAACCGTAGACGTCCAATTTAAACAATTGCCTTGTAAACTCTTAATGAAAGTAGCTGTTCCACTGTTTTGCTTGTATAATAATGTCAGGCAAAGTGCTTGTTCATTGAAGTCTAAACTCAAACAACTTATACTGAAACTTTTACACGAAGAATCATCGAGATCCGACCTTTTCGCTGAATTGCTTGGACACAGTCTAACCGGAAATTTTGGTCGCCATTTGGTATCAAGGTTCGGACCAACAGGCGGAATTGAAATTATAGGAACGGATACAATTCTCAAATATGAAGAGTTCGCAGACAGTCTGCGTGATTTAACATCTACCACCAATGTATTATCAACCGAGCTATTTTCATATTTATTAACGTACTTGTCAAGTTTGATAAAATCGGGCCTTGAAAAGGAAGCTCAAAATTTACTAGAAACTGAAGACGATATTATGGAGAGAATCGAGAAACACTTGACGGCCGTAAAATTGTTGTCAAATTTAGCCGACATACCTGCCATACAAGAGGCACAAATAAAAAATCCAGAGTCGATATTGTCTTTCATAAAATTGTTATATAAACAGTATATTAAGAACAGACAGAATCCGTCTGAAGAAGGCATCTCTGAGGTATTGTACGTTAGTATAATGCTGATAGAAATGATCGTAAATGTGAAAGAGAAACCTGTAAATTGGCCAGCATTTGATGACTTTGCAAAATTTTTAAAAGAGTGTTGCACTCTATCAGACATTCCAAAGCAATTGCTGTTATTAATGCAAAAGCTAATCGAGATCATAGAAACTCAAGGACAATTAAAACAGAAATGTTATCAAGATTTATCAGTGGATTCTAAGGCGTCGAACATGTTTGATGACGCGCTTAGGGATATTGCAGATCCATTACTTCCTATACGCGCGCATGGTCTAATAACATTGACCAAAATGATCGAGAATATGGATCCATGCGCTACAGCCAGAAAATCGATTATCTTGCAATTATTTAAGGTTAGTAAAATTAATCGATCTTTACAATCGATTCTAATTGTATACTGTATATTTTGTGCTACAGGAAAATTTAAAACACGAAGACTCATTTATCTATTTGGCAGCAATCAATGGATTATGTGCGTTAGCTACGTCGTATCCACAAGTAATTATAGAAACTTTGGTAAAAGAATATATTAGTATGGCTGATCGTGTTTCAAGTGGAGAAATAACGGTGGAAACTAGGCTCAAATTGGGAGAAATACTCGTAAAAGTAACGCGAACTTTAGGTATGCATATTTCTCTTCCATTTGGTTCTAATAATTAATTAATTTGTATTGCGATAGGTGAAATGGCACCAGCATATAAAAACGTATTAATAAACGGATTCTTATGTGCCACGCGTGATACCGATTCGTTGATACGCGCTTCCAGTCTTTCCTGCTTAGGTGAATTATGCAAAGTGTTAGGCTTTCGATTGGGTGACATTCTCATCGAGGTATGTTGCGCAGAATTCTGAAATGCAGAAATTTGAATTTTATTCAAACAAACATTTTCAGGTGATTTACTGTATCAGCTGCATAATAAAAACGGATAAAGTTCCCGAATGCCGACGAGCCGCTGTTATGGTTGCCACGTTGTTGCTACGTGGTCTCGGAAGAGACACGTTGACTAGTCTTGGCAAAGATTTAGTCGAGCTGTATCGTGGACTTAAACATTTATGGAAGAACGATGAGGACCCGGTGCTACGTTTGCACGCCCAATTGGCTCTCGAAGAATTGGACGACATTGTTCGAGATTTCCTATTTTCCCCATCGAAACTCGAGAAAAGAATATTTCTGTTAAATGAATCGTAATTGACGATCTTTGTAACATTTGTAACGATTTATTTTCTATAAAGTATATTAATTATTTAATCATTCTCGCTTAACGTATAATTTATTAATTTCGAATCGTTTATTTCACGCGAGACGTTGCAATTGTTGATCGTTATTTAAAAAAAAATTTGCTTCTCTCTTTTTGTCATAAAGACTAAGAGAGGTAAGTAAAAATTCTTCCATTAACACCTTCACTGCCAGATCGAAACCGTATAATATTCCGCGCAAGTAAAATTTTTATTTTGGACCATTGTAAGCTACATAACCTAAAATTTGTTTCTGTTAACTTGAGAATTAATTTTTCTAGTATCATAATGGTAAATCCTGTCACCCATATATGGCAGTCAAAGCGTTAAAGAATGGAAATGATAAATCGATGTACTGATCGCACCAAGGCTGGAAAAGTATAAGAAAAATAAAAGATACGGTCACCTGCGATACAGTTCACGGTAGAAAATCAATTTACGCTTCTTTTCGAAATTTGATTTATAAAAATATTGTATCCTCCGAGAAAAAGCCAGCCATACGAATGTAATGTCGCTTGAGGCACACGTATAGCCTTTGTGGTTGTGGCGTCGAGGTTGGCGATGGCCGTGGCGTCACAGCGCGTAAAATGAACTCTTTGGACGAGGGTTCGGGGAATGTTGTGTATTTGCCATCTCCGGCACCGTCCGTTTCAGGATGACTATTAACGGAAGTCATTAGAAGCGCAGCCTGGAGCACAAGCAAATATCAATTGAATAAAATAAAAAACCTAGATTAAAATAAATAAAATTTGATACCCTTTGAGCGTCTCTGAACATTGTCGTTATTCGACAACCACCAATAGTCCCTGAAGAGCCACCCGGCACCTCCACTTCCTTTCCTCGCATCAACTGAATGAGAAATGAAGTGAATTGTTTAGAGTCATTGTTGCCTCCCAGTTTGTGTTGCAGGGAATTGACTTGGGCGACCAAAGCTTCGACTCCTTTTATATCATGAGTGATTTCCTGGTAAAATGAAACGTTGTTTTAGTTAGAAAATCTCGTTTTGGCTACAAATTATGCACTTATAGATATACCTCATACAAATGTATCTTCTGTTGCAGAGGCTTTGTAACATACTGCAATTTATTCAGTATACTGTGTATGACATCAGGCAAATTTGGTAGAGCATCCTGCTTTTGTTGACTTAAGGTGTAAAGTGCAGCGTGGGTTAAAGTTGGTAAAAGAAACTGAGCAATCTGTCCTATTCGTTTCGAACTCAAATAATGCAAGGCCTTCTCTGCCTCCCTCGTGTCGTCGAATAATCTCCTTTGTCGATGCGCTGGGACTGGCTGCGCTGAACTCCAGGTTGTAGACCAAGGATTATTGGGAATTAGCATTCTTTCAGATAAACATCCTGTTTATTGAGTGGTTTTATTAATTCTTTGTTATGCAAGCGCATGAAAGGTTTGCACAGTTTTATTATAACATGAAAAATAAGGGAATTAGGAAAAGAACCTGCAGGTTGACCCCATTCGTCTGTTTCACCATTTTCGATCCAATCCCTTGGGGAATACCATCGAATGAAGTCTTCCAAAACTGCCCCCGGATTCGCTGCCTATGATTGCAAATATCAGCCTGATTGTTATTTGATTAAAAAAAAGAAATGCATTTTTGCCACTCAATTGGCAGAAAATATAAATAAATGCAAAAAGATTAAAAGCAAGACGGTGTACTTTGATATATGAATATCAATTTATTATATGCCACTGTTGTTACCTTGAAAGATTCCATGTCAGATAACAGCGAAGCACTCATTAATCTGGCCCGCATTTCCGAAGCATATTTATCAGTTCCAAGCTGTATCATAACTTGTGCATCCTCCTCGAGTTGGTCTTCTGTTTTCAGCACAGGGTCTTGCGTTACTGGCAAATAAAGAGTATCGCCCGTTTGCACCAATCTAAAATTGATTATTTCTAATTTATAATATCTGTGTTTGTTACACGGTACTCTTACAACGCGTTTACCCCATATAACGCGGGGATTTCCCACGCTATATTTCTGTACTGTGTAATTTACAATGATTTGTACAGTTCATAATCTATTTCGCGTACGTTTGCACACTGTGTCAACTGTGTTCTTATGAAATTAAATTATTTTATTAAATTTGTGTTCCTAGTTTTTGAATTGTAAAAACATTAATTATACATATATCTGTGGTAACACCCTTAACGAGAAAAGTTAAACGTGAATCATTTGTACATAACGCGTTATACGGGGCCATACGAGCGCGTTGTACGAGCATTTTCTACCGTGTTATAGGGGGGATTACTGTACATTTGTATTTAACACTTTGAATGTTTGTTTCAATATAAATGTTACAGCCTTTTATTCTCAATTATATTTAGTACGAATAATTCACCCAGTGTGCCACTTTTCAGGCAATTTACAATAAAAGAAAAATAAATTGAACGATTTCTTTCACGTAAAATTTAAAAAATAATTTTACTTAAACGAAGGATGTTTGGCTAATCTTCCTGAGGGTTTATTCCACAATAGATATTTCGCTTTCTGTTGCGTCCTTGTCGTCGAGTCGTCCTCGTTTGTTGGTTCCTCGCTGGTGCACTCGAAAAACTCCTCTTCTTCCGATTCTGTTAAAATCGAACGAGAATTAGAAGCAAAGTTAGGCCAACGGTACTTTCAAAACGATAATAATGATTAAAATAAAGGATGTTGAGCATTCTGGCTACTTGTAATTAGTTTAATTATCAACAGTGGAAGTTACAATAAAATTCTTGTGAAATAATTTTATAATATGAAAAAAAGTTATTTAATCACATATCCAATGAAAATTATCAATAATTAAATATAATGTCTTTCATTTTATATTCCACGGCGAAATATCGAACTCTTATTATTGTATACATATAATGGATGTTTTAAATGATTAAAAATCCTTGAAGGAGCAAATCTTCAATACATAACTATCATTTTAGAGTATCATGTAACATAGTTTTAATAGTGATATGAAATAATAAAAAAATTATATGAGTGCAACGATACCTGTCTCAAAATCGTCAGTATCCACACTCTGAGATCTGTGCGCCAATTCTTCTCTAGCTTTTTTCTTTTCGATGCAACAATTCATCATCTGAAATTAGACGAATAATAAACAAGTATTTTACACATTGAAAAAAGCAAGTTAAATATTTTTTACGGAGCCAGAGAACTTTACCTGAAGCTTTTGATGCAATATACAGGTCCTTACGGAATCTGGAAAACCTGGAGTGACTCTGGAAAAGAAAAACAGGTGGAAATTTTATATCTAAACAGATTTGTTGCTCAATTTATTCGAGACAATCGACGTTTTATTCTCCGACTATATTTGAATATTTATTTTAGCGCTAATACAATAATTCTATATAAAAAAACATGTTTTATCGTTATGAATTATTATTTTTCTCTTTTACATAAATTTTGGTATTTGATTTTCTTCGTTTTCTACGAGTTATTAACTAACTCAATAGTGATAGTTATTAGTCAACTACCCCGAACGATCATTTGAATACGACATATTTTGAAATACTCATTTAATAGTGAGGACAAAAATATTTACATATTCGACTAATTTTTCGATAAATACCACTTTCATTCAACAATTCTTACGATTGATTCAACATCGATCGCTAGAATATCTAAAAAAACTATTGATTTCGACGAAACTTTTCCTTTCTGCATACAAAAAACTTGTCCTTCAATGGAGCACTTTTTCACAGCATAAACACTATCTACATTACGTAAAAAAATCAAACATCCTTCGTTCAATGTGAAATTTAGACCATCCGTCGACTAAAGAAATATTCCCCGTACGCGATGTCCAATAAACAGTCGTGTCTTGCTAATCTCTGCATATTTCTAAATAAAAAAAATAAACTTAACAGCACAAAGTATGTACTTTACCCACAGGAACATTGGCTAAAAGAAAAGTGTTGAAAATTTCAAGAAAAAAAATTCCCAAAGAGCACTATTTTCGTTAACTCTTTATCGAGGACGATCTCTTGTAAGATCGAACCTGATTTTTGAAAAATCGGGACACTGGTTCGGCGATTCATGGTCGAGGAGTTGCTTCCGAACCTGTGTTCTATCTACCCTGCCCTACCTCGGCCAGCACCGGTACGAGACGAGATTCTAGAGGGGGTCAAACAGCAGCGAATTCTTCCAGTCTAGTCGAAGTCCGTGATGCCGATGCCACCGAGACTAAGTTAACGGTTCCGTTTCCAGTTCCGAAGGTGTCGCTGCCCGTGGATCACGTTAAACATCGATCTTCCCGTGAAAATCGTGATTTTTGTTCGTTCCACCACCGACGTGATCGACTTTTTAAGCTTTTCATTTCCGGCCGCGGGGACAACAGGTGGCATCGGCTAATACGACAGCATTCCTGCCGCGGCTGCGTGTAAAACCGTACGAAACGGTTTCGGGGAACGGACAGCTCCGGTTTTCATGTTTCCCGTGGCATATACGTGATCTCTTTAAGAGGTGGGACCGATTTTCGTAGCTGGAACACGTCATGGGCCAAAACTGGCTGTGATCGAACGTCAACAAATATGCGTAAGTAAATTCCTACACGGATTCTCTTACTTTTTCGTTTTGGAATGCCAACTCGCCGCGTATCTCACGTCGACGATTTTTTTCTTAAATTTACGAACTGAAAATTCTTTCCCCAGTCAGGAAATTAAAGACTGCGAAATTCTTACGTTTCTATGTTTTGTCCCCCGAAAGAGTCGTACGTCGACAAAACAGGATCTATCAACGAGTCGTTGATCGAGCACTGCAACGTGCAAACGTTTATCGCGTGGAAATAAGCGCTTCGAAAGTGTAACGCCGTGCCTTTAATCAGGTTTTCTGCTTAAAACTAACGATAACTGAACAGTGGTACCTCTTCGAGTTAAATCTTCTTTCGATGAAGCAACTTTTTAAATGTGTTTCGAGGAAGAATAGAAATAAAGTGACCATTAGTAACCGTCTATAAACGTGGGTAAACTCTCCTAATAGGTAATTATCGAAACAAAAGGTTTGCAGCTTACGTGCACATTCACTGGCCGTGTAAACGATCAATTGTCAATATTGCTTTAGGGTTGTACGGCGCACGTGTAACGAAAATCATCGAGCACGCATATTTCGGTTTACGGTGCCCCGTGGACAGTCCTCTGAACTCCTCAAACACCATGAAAGACTATAGTTATTGCGGCACCTACGCATGCACACCATGGATATCGTCTTCGGCGTATACTGGCCGACCTTGAACCATGTACTACACGAGACTGATATACACAGTGTGCTTCTCGTACACCACCATATGTATGGGGAGATGACTTTATATTTTGATTCCATTCGATATTTTCATTGGAACGATCTCGAGTTTTTTAAACAAGTTTCTTTTTTTATCTGTATAGTTGTACTGTTCGTTTTACAAATTATGACAAGTTATGACAAATGCACCGAGCAATGCTTCCCAATCGTTGTTTTCTGCGACAATATTTACACGATTACGTTTACGAAGATTCATTTAAAAGCAACTTTAAGAGAAATTAACATGTCAAATGTTTTTCATTTAAATTATTATTTATTTTAAATTATTTGAACGATGATTGACTTTGTTTTTGCGTAAACAGATGTTTTGTGGATTCTTTTACGATCGATGTAGAAGATCGATCTATTATCGCCAGTGTGATTAATAATAAGGCTATTTCGAAACGAGGAAAATGTGAAAAACGTTTGCATCCGGCTGTTCCAGATAGTTTTACGACGAAAAATCGGAAACTCTGATAATTCCGTCCTATCTGGCAACTATTACAAAGAAATTTCTATAATTTCCTCGTGCAAAATTCAACAAGCGTGGCGATACTGGTTCGCTTGCCCAGTTGCCTGCTCGCCATGACCATCGAACCATGGTATTCTCTTGCCTCGATTCTTTCATTCCATTACCTGTTCTTCCTATATACGTGTATATATTTCACCAAAAGAATGCACTTAAGGAGGCACGGGATCCCCAAAATTGAACACTTTCTTTTCCACAAATTTGTGTGTTGAGATCTCCAAAAATGATATGCAACTGGTCCCATATTGAAACTCGCGTTATTCGAGAAACTATAAGATCGTTAAAGTAAACAATATACTCGACTGGTTATAACAGTGTTTCTCAATGTTTTTCTCATTGTTCGTTAAAAAAAAATGAAGATTGTTTACTCAAAGAATCCATTGAATTCGAATCTATCGATTGCGCCAGTCACATCAGAAACATTAGTGTTTCTTCGATTCCTTTTTCAGCTAACTATCGCTTATATAATTTAGAAGCGTGTTACGAGCCATTACCTTGTTGCATTATGAAATTATTCCCCACCAGAAAGAGCACCGATGGTTTATCACGACTCTCTAATATCACTTCCTAATCCCACCTTTTCCATTTTTCGTTAAGTAGCTGGGATTATTCGAAGTTGCCCTGAGCAATATTGTGGAAATAGCTTTCCCTGATATAAGAACATTTTTTTATTTCAGTATACGAAGTATAGATAAGTAGGCTATTTCTCACTTTCATAGGGTTGAAATGGTAGGAAATTTCATATGATTATTAGTGATTTTAATGCAAATTTGTCTACGTCAACAACATTTATACAGAGAAAAATTTTAATGGGATAAATTAAATTAAAAAATTTCAAATCGTTCTGGAAAAATTATTCTCGGTTGCGGAGGTCAATTACAATCATTTTTGGTCATTACACATACCCCCGAAATCCTACCCACTTTCTGGAAAAAAATTCGAGAAGGTATGAAATTTTTCGACGCAAAAAAAAATTTCAAATCGTTTTGGAAAAATTATTTTCGGTTGAAAGAGTCAATTACAATCATTTTTGGTCATTGCATATACCCTCGAAATCCTACCCAATTTCTAGAAAAAAATTCGAAAAGCTATGAAATTTTTCGACGAAAATAAAAATTTCAAATCGTTCTAAAAAAATTATTTTTGGCTGCAGGGGTGAATTGCAATCATTTTTGGTCATTAGTCATACCCTCGAATTCCTACCCACTTTCGAGAAAAAAATTCTTTACCGAAAATCTAATGTGACGTCAGAAATGCTTCCTTGAAATGTCATGTGAATCTTTAAAATGTCATAACTCCTGAACGGATTGGAGGATTTTGATGTTTAAAAAGGCAAACGACGCGTATTTTAATGGAGAATATGTAGATATTATAAAAATATTCGAAAAGTTGTTCCTTGACCCCGAAAAATGAGAAAAACCCCATAAAAATGGTCCAATATTCAAACGACCATAACTCCTACAATAGTGAATATATTTAAATGAAATTTTTTTCTGAAGCAGAGCCCATGTGTACCTACAAAAAAGTATTAGACAACTTTTCTGTAGAGCGTCAAACAAATTGATTAAAAATGAAAAACGAATTTTTAAGAAAAATCGACAAGGGTAGGCGCGTAAATTTTTCGGCGAAATTGAAAAGTTTCAAATCATTCTGGAAAAATTATTTTTGGTTGCAGGGGTCAATTACAATCATTTTTGGTGAATAGGCATACCCTTCAAATCCTATCCATTTTCTAGAAAAAAATTCGAGAAATTGTGAAATTTTTCGATAAATTAAAAAACTTCAAATCGTTCTGGAAAAATTATTTTCGGTTGTAGGGGTCAATTACAGTCATTTTTGGTCATTAGATATATTCTCGAAATCCTACTCACTTCCGAGAAAAAAATTCGAGAATGTGTGAAATTTTACAACGAAAAAAAATATTTCAAATCGTTCTAAAAAAATTATTTTTGCTTGCGGGGGTTAATTGCAATTATTTTTGGTCAATAGACATATCCCCGAATTCCTACGCAGTTTCGAGAAAAAAATTCGAGAAGCTATGAAATTTTTCGACGCAAAAAAAAATTTCAAATCGTTTTAAAAAAATTATTTTCGGTTGTGGGGGTCAATTACAATAATTTTTGGTGAACAGACATACCCCCAAATTCCTACCCACTTTCTAGAAAAAAATTCGAGAAGGTATGAAATTTTTCGACGAAAATAAAAATTTCAAATCGTTTTGGAAAAATTATTTTCGGTTGCAGGGGTCAATTACAATTATTTTTGGTCATTACACATACCCCTGAAATCCTGCGCATTTTCGAGAAAAAAATTCAGAACTATTGAAACTTTAAACGTTAATAACTTTTTAACGAAGCCTCCATCAACAAATTATGAAATATACATATTTATTAATAACTGTACAAAGTTAGTACA